ATAAACGTCCACAGTGATCACATACTCTCGCTTCACTTCTAGAATCCACCGGTCTCCTGGATAGACAGTGAAACCTGAAATAAAAACATCTGGTTTGCTTTCAAAAACTCAAACATCATCAACAGCCAATGGTGGTAAAATATCTTTCATTAGTAAGTTTCTTTGGGTAAGAATTAGTGATCAAAGCAGAGGAGCTTTCACTATCCATTCTACAAAACACACAGTATCATTTACAAGCAATCCTTGAATTCAGAACACCCACTTGCCAACAAAAATAGATAGTCCAGAAAACAGCACAAAAAGATTGCCAAAGAAACAGAGATTGCCACAAAGATTGCCTTGTAAGGCAATCAAGACATTTTTTCCATAGTTATGAGGCCCATTCTCTCTTGGCACTCTTTTAATTTAGTTAATTACTTCAATTTAGAGAGCAGCCCATCAAACTCATTTAAGTGGACTTCAATTTTCAAACCAATGCACTTGAAAAGACAAGAAATCTGCTTCTGCCATAAGATTTAGATTTAGATGCCTCCTGGCAACATAACAAATGCAGGGTTTTTTAGATAAGCAATATTTTCCTGATCAAATGAAATGTGAGAGTTTTACCATCAATCTTTCATTTTCTCATTACCTAAAAATCCAGCTTCTACAACATAGATAGTGCAATTTGGAAAACCAGATGCCGCTCGCATATGAATATCTTTGTTCTTATATAGGAAGTCTTTAAGGATTTCATTTTATGAAAAGAAAATACAGATGCCCTTAGTGAGCTATAAACCTCCGAGCTGTTTAAATACAGAACAAGTATCGGAATCTGGGGCTTGATCCAATTTCCACTGACATCAAAGAGTGTCTGTTACTGTCAATGGGAACTACATTGTGTAATGAATTGGCTAGAGGGGTCCTTGTCGATGCAGAAGAACAAGAGAAAATGAAATTGCACAGGCTACAAAGTGATCTCTTCCTGAATGGCCACAGGAAAATTGTAATGAGGTTCTTGAAACAGAATGCTGAACCTATCGATATGCTTATCTGGAAGAAAGGCGCAGAATGAAAAGAGGAAAAATTAACCAAGCAAAGTAAATACCCTATAAAGGATTTGGAGAAATTGAAGATAGGATCTCACAAAAATCCCTTCTGTCTTTACAATCTCTCCAAAATACATATTTTTTTATAACTAGGGTTGGTCATGCTTGGAAATCAAAATAGCCAAATGCCAACACTAAAGACACAGTTTAAACTGCATTCAAAAGGATACTTTTATGAGCAAAGACGAGATTACTCTGTCCTAATTGCACTGCTCTCACAGTGGCCGTCTTCACCTCCAGGCTGGCCACTGGAAGAAGGTCAGACCCACCAGGTGCAACAACTTGATCACGAAGTTCAAGCTCATAATGTTCAAGAGGCAATTCTACTTCTGCAAAAGGGTTACAAATCACAGTGATTTTATAATCAGCTACACTTCCCTGTAAAACATGCTCTTTACAGAGGTACCAATCCAAGGACCTGACAATAATGACAGCAGATTAACAGTGTAACAACGTAGTACGTTGACAGATCCTCTCCCTGCTGGCAAGCACGTGTGATAATTCATCTCTCCAGTGTCTGTATACAAATTTTGAAAGTGTTAGAACGCAACTTCAATCCACTACCACTCTGACACCATAATGAAGTCCTGCCACTTCCCCTGTTTCCAGTCATATATTCTCAATTACTCTCTCTAATCAGCCCTAGTGAGACCTGAATCGTGAGGTATTTACTGCTTAACAGCACAATTTCACTAGCTCTAAGCTAAACTTCTCAATTTCTCTGCCAACTAAAACTACAAACAATACAGAAAAGAAGACATGGCAAAATACAATGGAACTAAGAATTTACCTGTAAGCTTTCCCTGTATCATTTTAGCTACTTGGTATTTAATGTAAGCTCCAACCAAGAGGTAAACATCATGAGAAGGTATCAAGAACACATTCTCTAGAACCAGCAGACGTACCAATGCAGCAGATACTTTCTAATGGAAAGGCAATTAAAAAAAAAAAAAAAAAAAAAAAAAAAAAAAGTTCAGTAAAGTCTGGAAAGTCTTTTTATAAAGATTTAAAAAAAAAAAAAAACTTTCACAATAATTATTCACCTTATAAGTTGATTCCTGTATTCGGACTTTTATAATTGCTGCACCAGTTTTGATTCCTGACACTAGAATCCTATCTCCATGTTTTTCTGCTCTTTCCAGATCAACAATGTAGTCTGGTGGAGAGTACTCAGCTTCCGAGTACCTTAAAATCCTGACAAGACCAAAATAACCTTAGGCAGGTAGACAACGATCTCCAGGTACTTTAGAACCAAAGAGGTCAGGGTATTGAAACTATTTCAAACTCTGCAATACTTATTATACACAAATTCAAACAGAAAACCTTCTTTCAGCAAACTGAAACTACTAATTTTACTCACAGAATTAATCACATAAGACCAAAACATAAATTAATATATAATATTCCTACTGGTGGTACAGTGACAAATCACATCCTACCAAGTTGAGTCCAAATTTATTCATCCACATCCCACCCACTCTAGAAATATCCCAGGATGAATTCAGGTCAGTGCTGAGCATTCATTAATCATTTTTAATATTTACCTTATTTTGTTTGAAAGATTTAAACTTTCCATGTTGTCATCCTTTGCAATACTCCACTCAAAAGTCATTCCTGACAAGCTGCTGAATGTGTTTCCTGAAGAATATAAAAAAAAAAAAAAGAAAATCAGCATGAAGAGTGGAAGTCACTGTACCTTCTTAGTGACGGATTCTTTCCACCCAACAGAGTAAAACAAACCAATTAAGTGTCTCAAAATTGCCTGGATTCCTAATATTCTGACCAGCAATATCAATTATAAACAGTATCACTAAGTATAAAGAAAAGAGAGTAAATAAGAACTTCTTTCTCAGGAATAAGAGCTTAAATTTGGAATTGTAGCAGGAGAATTTGTCTCCCAAGCGATACCTTCAACATCCAGAGCTCTCACAGTTAATTCCAAAGGAGAATCTTCCACATAGATCTCTCGAGTTCGGGAGACGATTTCAATACTGTCTATCACATCAACAATGACATCACAGCGAAGTAGGTGGCCTGTCACTATAACAAGAGAATGAATTATCTTTAGTTCAGTATCTGCGAGTTTGTATTGGCTTAAAAACATTAAAAACTATGGGGGGAAGGAAAAAAATAAAAGACCACCCTTTCCCACAGAGCAAAAAGAAGATGTTGCTGTAGGTTTCTCAGTAAGATAAGCCTGACGTGGAACTCTGCTGCAATCCCACATATTTTGCAATATTTAGAAAAACAAATTCTTCCTTAAAACCTATACGCACCACCCTCGATTGCCACAAAGATCCCCATGGCCCAAACGACTTGCTGCTTTCTGGATTTTTCCCTTTGCCACCTACCGCGTTCCTCGGCTATCACCACGCTGCTGAACTTGGCGGCTTGAGACGCCTGAGCGGACAGCAGGGCTTTCTGTGAACACACGGTGCTGTTCCCATAAAGGGGCTCCACGTTGACTATATCGGGATGCGTGGAGTACCTGAAAGAAAGATCCCAACCCGCATCCACTCAGACGGGTGTCTATGAATGTGCTTTAAAAAAATCCCCAAACTTAAAGAAATGCAGATTAATACTGCTCTCAAAACACTTCTTTTTTCATATTTATTCTTACAACAACCTTTTAAAATATATTACTCTGACTGCACACCTGATGTACTTGTTCCAAAGGTGCACCAGGCCAAAAGCTTTTGCCCCCCAACCCTTCCCCCATGTTTTGGTGTTGACACATAGTTAGAATAAAAGCTTTAGAGCAAACATTGTGGCTCTAACCAAATAAAAAGGCCTCTTGCAGCCAAGCAAGGCAGGTTTTTGTGCTCCCCTGACATTATCCTAACCCAGGCAAACCTCTTCCCTCCTTCAACGTTTTTTTCTCTTCAACTTTTCCTTAGACACATTCTTCTCCAGGCCTATTATCCAGAAAAGGCTCCCATCCCACTCCCTCTAAGCAGCACCTCTCTCATCAAGGATAACAAATCCTTCAATCCCTTAGCACCCCGTCCTCTTCCTCACCAGGAGTAACAGCCACCCTCAGCCTCTAGCACAAAGGGAACGTGGAGCTCCCGACTGAAGGGCAACAACACTTTGGGCACGTTTAGTTTAAAGGCGGCGGCCAGAAAGAGCGAGGGGAAGCAGAGGAGCACAGGCAGTCGAGCCTGCCTCATTCTGTCAGAGGAAAGGCAAAATGGCGGCGCCGGCAACCCGCCGTTCCCGCCTTGTGGCGCGACGCATGCGCAAAGGGAACCGCCTCGCAAGCGCGGCGCATGCGCGCTCCGCCCACCGCCGCCAGCGGCGGGAAAACCCCCGCCGGGCTGAGGTAAAACCGGGAGGAGCCGCTGCCCGCACCGCGGCCGCCGGCCGCCCTTACCGCCCTCGCCCCGCCGGAAGAAGAGACCACACGGAAAGCACCGGAGACTGACACCGCTGTGGAGGGAGGTGGTTTTATTTCAAAAGAGAGTAAGACAATTTTTCCCTTTTTTTTTTTTTCTTTTCTCCTCAATTTTAGTATCAAAACACTTGATAGGGTTCTTTTTATTTTTTTTTTCCCTCCAGATTGGCCCCTAAAACTGCTCCAACCAAGCAGCATGCTTGAACCACAAGCTACACACAGCGAGCTTGGCACATCTCCACACTCGCACCTCATGACAACAACACACCAATGCACTGCAGGATGGCTTGTACCTCATTAAGACATTGATCACTTAAGAGCACACCTGGCTGGGAGGGAAGGCTTCATTTCCCCCCCACCCCCAAGCAGGGTACACAAAATATCTCCAAAAAAACAAGACTTTTGTACGTAAGCTGTTAAGTTGAACCCAGCAATGAGTGATAAAAAAGCTTGGTACATCAGCACTTTGTGAAGGCAAATTCAACCCCTGGGTAGCAATAGGTTAGAGGGGCCATGGCTTCTCTAAAGCCACGGGGGGAAAGAAAGTGGCCAATAGTGTGGGGAACAAGAAAACAAAACCAAAAAAAAATAAAACAATTCTGTGAAAATTCAAACATTCAGATAAACTTGGCTTAAAAAAAAAAAAAAAATCTCCTCCTGCTTACATTGCTTCTCTACAACACAGCATGACCTTAAAGCTGAGAAACTGGACTGTGCTTTTGGCAAATAGCTTCTGGAGAGGCCGTCAAGCCCCACCAGGTCCCCAGGGGATGAGGCAGGAAGGATTCCCAACTGGCTTCCCATTCCTAGCCAGGTTACTAGGAACTGTCACCCCCTCCTCCTTCCCCTGCCCATGCAGGGCAGCCCAGAGCTGAGTAACAGAAGGTTAATACCAAATTTTAAAGCTGAGAGCTTTTTAAGTGTATGTAGCTCATGAGCCTCAGTTACTTGGAATGTTTACAATGGTTGCTACAAAAAAAAAAAAAAAAAAGGTAGTTACGAAATGTATACATCTCAAACATGCTCCCCCACCATTATTGCATTGTTTATTTCCCTTAATAATGCTGCTTCAAGCTATGCCCAACCTGATGACCTCTAACCCTGAGAGAAAGTGGAAGATTAATGTTTGGTCAAGTTGGCAAGTGAAGGTAAACCGTGGTCCCCAAGGGTTAGAGGGCAGCAGCGGCTGGGCTGGCCCTCTCTGGCGTTGCGTGACAGAGGCAGTGGCAGGGCTCCATTACATTTCGTTCAGGTCTAGCAGGGTCTGGTCCAGCATTCTTTGTGTGCAGAGATGCTCCTCTTTGGTGGATTTCAGTTTATCTGGGGGGAAGCAAGAGTCAACAGTTACAAACCAGCTCAAAACAACCCAAAAGCCTTTGCCGAGAAAGCTTGCGCTAGCCCATTCCCAGCACGCTGCCATAGCTAGGTTCTCCGTTTGTGGGTGCCTGGCTATTTGCAGCTAGAAGCTCCGCAGTTACCTGGCTCCTCTGTAGCCCTTCTCTCGCGTTGGCGGTGCTCCCAAGTGGCAAGGTCACGCTGTACCTTAAAGCTAGTGCTCTAGGTAGTAGTTTGCATGCAGGTGGCCTTGGACTGCAGCTAGCTTTGCCCAGGGCTTCCACACAGCAGCAAAGTGGCCCCGCAAGCCACCCAAAAGCAACTCAGAGATAAAATTACACAGAGAAGGCACCTCCCAGGATTACAGCTGGCTGTGCCCCCACTTCCCCTAGCACAGGATAGAGATGCCAAGCTGGTCACCAAGACCATACTACCTAGCAGCAGGTAGCAGACAACCATGCCTCAAGGACAAGTGGGAGAGAGGCTTTTCTCCGTGAACAGCAGGCAGTGAGCAAGTAGGAACAAGGGTGTTGCAGCTCTGCCCAGGACTACAGGGAGCTTGCACAGTCAGTTCTCACATGTTCTTTAAGCCAGGAGGAGAGCTCAGACCAGCAACTAGCACTCTAGGTAGGCTTTACTCCAAAGGGCAGCCCACCCTTATCTCTGAAGAAATCCGCACGCTGGGACACTGGATAGGCAAACTGTGGAAAGATGTCCTTTAGGCACAGGCAGTTCCTTCAGATAGCTCCCCACCACCTCCCTCCTGAGGTCAGTGCTGAGGATCTGACCAGCAACTGGCTCATGGTCCAGACAAGAGGCACTAAGCACAGAGCAAAAAGCAGCCTTCCTAGGGCACTAGCAGCAGCAGCAGCATTTAAAGACTCCCTGGGGGCACTCAGGAGACAGCTTTCCACCATGTATTTTGTGACTGGCTTTCCAGATGTCCATTACATTTCTCATCTCATTTGGGGCATCTGCATCTGTGGTGGGGTCAGGCCCCAAGAACAGCCTCCTCCCTCAAACCTTCCTAGGTTAGAGCTCAACTGTATGAAAATACTACAGGCTTGCAGGGCCTTACAGACCACAAGGTCAGCAGTTTATTGTTAGAAGCCATCATTCCATGCAGCAGGAAATGCTACAGTCATTCAGCTAACAGTAAAGTCATAGCACCGGGCAGGTTATCTAGCAGACATCGGCCGAGCTCCTCCCCACCCCTCTGTGCTGGTGGGCACCATTGGGGCTCCCTGCAGGAGCCGGACAGGCCCCCCTGGACCAGCAAACGTGACTGTTCAGAAAACAGCCACGTCCTAGGGTTACTCCATCCAGAATAGAGGTTACCTTTTTATAAAAAGCTTTTAAATAAAGAACATTAGAGGATCAACTTCAACTGCCCCATTAAATAGCAGCAACTGCACAGAATTTGCAAGTCTGCCAGTCTTAAAAGTGATCAGATTTCTCTGTGGTCCACAGCACTGGTGGTCGCAATAAGCTTGTTTAATGGCATTAGTGGGCCCCCTTCTCAGTCACACAGATCATGCAGCGTTAACTTCAGCTCGTTAGAGAGCAGACGATTTTTCTCAAGCTGGCTGTACAGGCGCTCTGCAGCAGCGACAGGGGATTAGGGGGGAAAAAAGAGAGAGGAAGAGAGAGAGAGAAAGGGAAGGTTAGTAGAGTACCAAGATGAGCACATAAATAACCTGTCTCCATAATGTATGCCTCTGAGGTTCAAGTCCAGGCTATTACACACATGAAGACAGGCAGAACAAAAAGTTTGTCTTAATCTAAATCACTTTTCTGCTCAGGAAGATCACAGTAGAAGCCAAGTGCAGGCAGAAATGTAAGTGCTTCCAAGGCTTTATGAAGGCAGAGGAAGAAGAAATGAACACTAGAGAAGGAACTTGTAGACTGGGCTGAACTGGACCCAGTTAAGGAGAAAATAAGGACGTGCTTTAGGCTTGTGCAGTGTTTTGTAGAAGGAGGTAGTCCAGGTTTGGCTGGGCCAGAACTACCTTCCAGAAAGCACAATACCACACAGCAGTGGGACTGAACAGGTAGTAGCAGCGGTGCAGGGACCCACAGGGCTCTAAGGACAACATGAGAACGACACCATCTCCTACCCAAAAAGGTAGGAGACAACTAACTGGGAAGGAAGCTGGGGCATGGGAGACAACCATTCCATGCTGGCCTATGCCTGCCATGCACATAGGCTACCACTGCTAGGCACTTGCAAGACCTCACCTTTGTGCTGGCTCTAAGCAGGTACACTGGGCACCCTAACGTCACCCCAGGTGACCAGGGCCAGTTCTAGATCTCTAGGACAGCACAGGGTGGCAATGGGCTGTGATGGATAGAGCTTGAGGGATGGGTGACTAAGCTGGTGCAGCAGCTGCTGGCCTTCAACCAAGTGCCCCGCATTGGTGGACACAGACATGACGACTCACCCACCTGAGCAGACTGACTTGAGTAATTGGCATGACCCTTTCCAGACCTCAGGAATAGCTTCTTTATGGTGTGTCCTTCTCCCTTCCCCACCCAACCTGCAGGGCAGCCTGAGGTCATGTTTACACCTTGGGGGAGCTCTAAGACCTGTGCCTCCTGGTCATTTTATCTGTGTTTGCAGCACTCCTGAGTCAACAGCCTGGCTCCTGTTAACCAGCCCATACAAGCCGAGCAATCCAGTCAGACCAGAAGCCTTTCAAAGCCTCCCAAGGCAACAGTGGCCTCACCCACACATCCATCCACCACCTAGTATGGATTCTATCCAAGCTAGAATCAAGAGGCCCTGCCAGAGCCCAGCCTTTGATAGCATCACTTGCAACACTGCTGTGCAAGAAGAGCACAGCCACCTGCTCCATGCTGCATGCAAGGTACTAATAAACCCTTGATTGACAAGACCTCCCAACAAGGAGGGAGGCTGTTTCACAAGAGCAGCAAATGTAAGAGTCACATCCCTCCCAGGAAGGGCTGGCAACTGAATTTCTGTTCCCCTTTGTAACAAGCCCTGCTGCCTCCTCACACAGGACCTAGCCCCCTTATTAAGCTGCAGGTTTAGCTATAGATTCTTGCTCTTTGCGGATTCTTGCTCTTTGGTTACATGGCACAGAGCTACTTCTTATATCCCAGGAAAACGAGACCACCATCAGCAGAGCTTCCCAAATCATTACCCTTGGAACCTCCAGCAAGATAGCTCCCTGCTCAGACCTGCAGGAGTGTCTAGCAGAGAGGAGACAACCTGATACAGGAGTCGGAAAAGGCTGAGGTCGTTCAGTGTGCTCGGTCTGTGCTTATTGTTAGCGCCGTTTGTGCGGGAGAACGAAATGCAAACAAACCTGAGGCTCAGGAACCCACTGGGGCTGTCCCATTTCACCAAAACTCGGCTCATGAAGGGCTCTTCGGGCCCTATGGCAGACAAACCAATCCAGGAAGGAAAAAAAAGTATTTGACAAGCCACCACAAGGCAGCACGTACACTTATGTCAGGCTGTTCAGTGCTTGTGGTACCAAAACAATCAGTAACAGATTCGAATCCGCAGTGAAACGTGTCAAGTGCTTGCAGGCTGCCACCAGCTGCAGTGCTCAGTGCAACGCTCCATGCCACACTCCCCCAAAGCGGCCTGCCCAGGGAGCACGAAGGGGCCCTCGCTTAGACCCCCTGGCACCAGAAGCAAGAGCCTTGCAGAGGCTACTGCCATATCTAGCGCTCTGCCAGTCCTCTCCAACTAGGATCCGCAGGAATTTGCTTGATATTTATTAGCTTTCGCACCCCGCCAGTGACCTGGTGAGTTACAGGTGTGGTAACTTCTCCCTGAAGGCAGCATGAGGCAACTGATGCCCGTGAATGCATCGGTCAAATGGGAGGAGTGACTTTAGCCCGACTCAAGTAGGCCCAGCTTGAAGACTTTCCGCTACACAAGTGTCCTAGTTGATCCTACAAAGCATGCTGTGCACCGAGCCACTGTCTGCAGAGCTGCAATTCACACGTGAGCCAAGATGACACCCAAAGGATAAAAAAATGAGTGCATTAATCAAGTCTATGTATTCCATCCACACCAATAAAGATTACACTGGTTTGAAGGCAACATTGAAACAGTTACTCTAAAGCAGCAAGTGGTCACTAGAAATCCATTTCTCAGCAGCACCAGCCGCTCCATTCAATTTATACAAGAGTTGTTTTTCTTAGAAAAAGGTGACATCATGCTCAAGCAAGAGGCAAGAGAAACACAAAAGGAGCTTTATGGCTCCACACAAGATATGCAGATGAGAACACGACATCCTCCCAGCTACACCCAGACATCGAAAGGGCAGCCCCTCAGAGCACAGCAGTGTCTGGCACATCGGGTCAAACAGAGAGCACTTTGTTTAGAAGCAAGTGCAGTGCAACTGGGGGGCCGCTACTGCTGTCAAGTTTCAGCGTCTTTACAGCACTCGTTCCCAGGGATGCCCTGCACACAGTAACTGGAAAAAGGTACTGGAAGTCAGAGTGAGATGACGAGAGCACGAATGCAGGGTGCAGATGCAGAACAAGCCATCAAGCAGAGAGGCAAATCCAAAGTGGAGTTTGGAATCACAAGATTTATCTGTGTGAAACAGAAGGAGACACTAATTTTATGAGAGGCTTCAGTGTTTGTGCACGGCAAACTGTTCAGGGAGCTTTCAGATGCTAGTGTTAAGGCTCTTCCTCTAACACACAAGTACCTGGCCTTTCCTTGGTTAGTAGGAAGGACTGTGCAGAGCAGCTGTTAGCAAAATCCACAGCAAATCTGAACAAAAAAGCTAAGTAGCCAAGTTGCAGAAACACACGAGTTCAGCTACTTCCACAGATCACTTCATGATCCACTCCATCTCAGGCCGGTTAGGATGATTCCTGAGGAATCCACTTGAGCACTATCCACAGCCTCTTCCAAAAGGAATCCTGAGACCATGGCCCACTGCTCTAGCAGGCAGAGAAGCAGCATTACCTTAGGAAGCCTTTTCCAGTGGGACTGGGAATTGCATTCCTTAGCAGAGCTCAGCGAGTTCAGGTCAGAACTCTTAGGCCGGCACAGCGCTCAGAATTACACATGCAGATCACATTAGTTGGAATGCAGCATGCTGCACGGAAGCCTCCACGGTCCTAGAGGCAGAGATCTGTAGAAGTAACCTAGACACAGCACCATTGATTCACTGGGTATGGAAATCACAGCAAACCAAGCAAGCTCTGGCGGCCTAGCCTGCTGAAGCAAGAGGCAAACACCACCCAGCTCATATTTACATGGAAGTCATGTCATTCAGGGCGTGGTCCAGTTCCTCACTAATTGCTTTGTACTTCAGTTTCTGGGCATAGAGCTCATCTAGAAGAGGTTCAGGAGGAGAACAAAAGGGAGACAATGAGGGAAGGCAGACTTCTTCCAACACCCTGAGGCAGGAAAAGCAGTATGGGATTCATGAACAGAAGAAAATGAAGTCAGATGTGGAGACTTTACAACTCTCTTCATTCCTGAGCAATGAGTGAAAGGGCTCTGACAGCTGGAGGACAGGCTGACCGGCAAGTGTCTTCCAGATTACGAGGCAGCTCTAAGGTGAGCAAAGCCAAGCACTCAAACCACAGTAGCTTGTAAGAACAAGCTGCTCTGCTAGGTCAGCAGCAACCACTGACAGATGGAGCACCGGGGAAGGGCAACTCCACTTCTTAGGAAGATGATCCGATTGCTAAACCAAAAGCAGGCACAGATCAATTAAGTGCTTTGTTCTCACCTTCCGTTTCAGTACAAAACCTGTTTGGGAGAAGGCAGTTAAGTAACAGTCCAGGGCACCAGAGGGAATTCCCATTATGTGCCCACAGCAGCAGGCAGGATAAGGCGAGCAGACAAGCCACACCCGAGTTCCTCACAAGATGATGGAGCACATCACTTGCACCCAGGGGAGGAGGCAGGCTTGAAACTCAAGGCTGTCCCATCAGGGCTGTGCAGAGCTGGCAGACTTTGCCCAACACTGACTGCCTAGGCTACGGCACAGCTGTTTATGTTGGTAACTGACTCAGTGCCCAGAGAACTTTGTCAATTGTCATAAACTAGGTCACTTCAACAACAAAACTGTAGACTGGAGCCAACTCTCCCTATCAAGGGAAGCAAGCATGGACTTGGAGTTTCACAGATCCCAATAAGGGCTTGCACTGGATCATGAGCTGGCTTGGATCACTGCTTGGCTGCGGTTCTGGAACAGCTCAACTGACACCATTGCTATTTCTAGATAAAACTCCTGAGCAACTCCAGCTGGAACAATGCAGCTTTGAGTTTCCAAGACCTGGCACATGCTGTGGTCAAGGCAGGGGGCCACTAAGATTTCTGGCTTGCCAGCACCAGCACTTCATCCACAGCTGTCTACAGCAGACTCTGCCATAGCCCCAGATTTAAACAGGTAACTAGAACCTTCTCTTCTCATCCTTTGCAGAGAAGTAGGATTCTGTGAATTCAGGCATCAGGAGCGTTTAAGTACCATGAAGTCAGAAACGGAAGGAGAGCAGCCCATCCATGGCAAGAGACATCACACTGCTGGGATAGAGCTCCAGGTGATTCAGGCTTGAATCAGGACTGCTCCTGGGCTACTTTAGTCTTCCCAGGGCCAGCTCATGACTAACTCCTGTCTGCAGCAGGCAGCCACACGCATGCACTTCTGCACAAAGGCTGTTGAAGCCAGTTCCAGTCGAGTTCAGTTGGCTTTTCCTACCCCACTCGTTAACAGGAGTACAGTAATCCATTGACATCCCTGAGGACATCACAGCTGGGATTTGCCATTGTGCTTTCTGTTACCATGAGGCAGAGGCAACAAGATGTTCGGGGCAAGAACATTACTTCCTGGCTGTGCTGCAGCCAGCCTCATTTTAAGAGCAAATAAATCGGGCACAGTTCTTAAGCCCAGAGGCTCCAACCTCACCTTGCAGGCTCAGTTTGACTGTGCTCCAAGAGCAGTGCCTCCATTTTCCAGCTATCTGGTAGACAGCCTTCCTCAGCTCCCCACTCCTCACATGTTCTTTGGCTTCCCCATCCCCAGAATGTACCTTCCAAATCATCAATGGTCTTCTCCAGCTTGGCTACAGACCGTTCAGCAAACTCGGCACGAGTCTCCGCCTGCCAGACAGGAGCGAGCCAGTCAGTGCAACAACTTTCACAAGCAAAAAAGGAGTAGAAAGTCTGACACAGTCTCTTACCTCTTTGAGTTTATCAGTCAGGATCTTGATCTCTTCTTCATATTTATCCTCTTTTTGGGAGTACTGTGGAAAAGGAGAGAGTCAGCAAAGAGCAGCCCCAGATACCTCCCACTCCAGAGATCTTGCAGCCAAAGGGGAGCCAAGCTCCTTGCTGCCTATACGTGCCCCCAGGAACTTCCAAGAGATAGTTACTCATACCCCTGTCCTGAGGCAAAAGAACTGGGTCAGGCAGCAAGTCCCAGACCATACACACAACAAAGCTGGGCACAGATAATATAGTTCACATCTGAGCAGCATAAACACCTCGGGCCGCTCGCCTCTGCCTCAAGGCAGGGAAGGGCAGTCATCATTCCCATGCTCCCAGCTTCTGGAAGTCAACATTATCTCTGCACAAAGATCCGTTAGTTCTCCTGGAGCCACAGAGCTGAGGGAACAAGCACCGCTCTCCGCACTTGGATCATCTCCATCCCAGGGGGTGCTCCGCAGCCACACACTCCTCTAGCAAAACTGAAAGGTTTCTGACCCTTTAGAAAACAGCCCTACCTTCTCAGCCTGAGCCTCAAGAGACTTGAGATTGTTGGTGACATTCTTCAGCTCCTCCTCCAGCTCGGAACACTTACTGTGGATTTTTGTAAAGAAAAGGGTGGGGAAAAAAAAGAAGAAGAATGGGAAGGAAAGACAGAAGAGATGAGAAGTGAATCCACGTGCAGGGAAGACCAGGGAGTTTTTTTTAGGAGACAATGGTTGGACTAGACGAGACCTTGCTTCAACGGCACTTCTGCAGGAAGCAAGCTCCCTCCCAGCCTCCGAGTTCACACCACATAACTGGCACGGGCACAGGGCACTGAACTGAGCAGCTGAGATATGGACACAGATTTGTGCCAGAGTCTTGAAGTAGAAGTTGCAAGTTTAGTTTGCTGGGGGCGGGGGGCCAGGGGGTAGTTCTGACTGATAGCTGAGCAGCTGCCATCCATTTGGACAATTATTGATGGTCAGAGAGGACAGAGCATTCCAGGAGAGACAGAGAGAGAGAGAGAAGTGCAGTTAGGCAGAGGAAGGAGTGTAAGACGTCAACCACAAGAGCTTTGGTTTAATGGTTCGAGAAGGGAAAGGTTAGTACCTTTTCTTCGGCAACAGACAGACACTTCAAGTTCTGGTCCATCACTCTGATCTGCTCCTGCAGCTCCCGGCAACGACTGTTAGTGACGGTCACATGATGGGACAAGCCAGGTGGGGACAAGGGGCAAAAAGGACCACAAGTAACAAAGCAGAGCAAAACAAAGGAGGAAATAAAAAAAAAAAAAAACCCAAAAACATCACAGTCATGACATGCACGTCTGGGCAGGAAGCACAGCACTATTACTGCAGCCACGCTTTGTTAGACAAGGCCCAGAAGAGCTGAGAAAGGCCCTAAGTCCCTAAGGGTCCATTACGGCATCCAGACAAGCGAAAGGAGCCCTGACACCACAGCTGGTGTCCCCGCTCCGAGCAGAGCAAGCTCGGCTCGCTGCTCAGCGAGGCGCTGCAGAAGCCTCTGGGGACTGCTGCACACGAGGAGGGCAGCCTTGGAGAGGCCTTTGGGCAGCGCACACGCTGCTGCCTCCCTGCTCGGAGGCCCTGGCCGTTTTACAGCAGCAAGTCCTGTGCCCGGGTGCCCCACGGCAGCGTGCAAGGAGCTGGTGAGCGCACTAAGCTGTGCTGGTGAACACCGTGGGCGGGAGGATCCTTCGGGACCCTCAGGCTTCCGAAGTCGCTCCGTGCAAAGAGGTGGAGCATCTCGATGACAAGGCAAGCACCAAGGCTCCGCATCCTCAGGGGACTTAATCCTCCTCAGAGCAGATTGCTTCCAAGTTTCACCCCAAAATCTAAACCCACCCCGTCCTGAGGCCTTGCATAACAAAGCTAGAAGTGCTCTGTTAGTGTCATGCAAAGGCAGCCGTGCAAGTCGTACACAGATATACTCACGACTCCGCAAGCTCGGCCCTCTCTTCAGTACGCTCCAGATCTCCTTCTATGATCACCAGTTTCCGAGCAACCTGAGCAAGAGAGCCAGAGTTAACAGGAAGGAATTCTCATCCTCACAGGCTGCGCCAGGCAGCAAAGGAAACGCTTGCCGGAGTGGCCAGAGTCTCTTGGCAAGAGGCAGCGCTAGCGCAGCTCTGCTGGCCTGCGAGCCAGGCTTCCCCCACGGAAAACGAGGGAAGTACCAGCTACAGGAAGAGGAGCTGCCTCTCCTGGCAGACAGGAGCATCCCGCGGAGCACCGAGGGCCTCACCTCTTCATACTTCCTGTCGGCCTCTTCGGCGATGTGCTTGGCTTCCTTCAGCTGGATCTCCTGCAGTTCCATCTTCTCCTCATCCTTCAGGGCTCTGTTTTCTATGACTTTCATGCCTCTGCCCGAGAGAAAAGGCTGTGAGGGGAGGTGCTCGAGGCAGCGGGAGCGCAGCCGGTTCGGAGCGTCGGCAAGGCTCCCATGGGAGCAGCGCTGCCTCCCCACACGCTGGGGACAGCGCAGTGGGACAGACCCTGCTGCACGCGGAACACACGCTCGGAATGAACCCCTTCCTGGAGCATTTCTTCCAGCGGCTCCTCAGCCCAGGGAGCTGCTGGAAGGACAAGCGAGGCTCTCCGGGGGCTCTACACAGCTGAGCTGAGCACTTCCCAGGCGGAGCGGCAGCCGGAGCCAAGTCGGTCATTACGGCACGGCCAGCCGGGGCAGGCTGCTCGCGGAGGAAGCACATCCAGCAACTGGAAACGCTCTGCTGGGACCACTCCCCTCCGGATCACCCCGCCAGGTTAGCAGGGACCTCTGCCAGGCTGGAGGCTCCCGGTAGGAGCAGCAGGAAGAGCCTCCCCTCTCCCAGCAGCTGTTTTGGCCAAGGGAAGAGCATCCCGGAGCCCGCTGGCCTCCCTCCTCTCACAGGGGCACGAGGGCAGCCCCAGCACTGGGCTCTCAGGGCGCTCTGCGAGGGCCCAACATCTTTTCGGAGGCTCCGTGTAAGCGGCCGCCGACTCCCCCATCCCGCCTCCACGCGGCCTTCACTGCCCGGCCTCCCGAGGGGGCCGCCGGCACGCAGAGCCGCGCTCACCTCTCGCTCTCGTCGGCCGCCTTCTCCGCCTCCTCCAGCTTCTGCAGGGCGGTGGCCAGGCGCTCCTGCGCCCGATCCAGCTCCTCCTCCACCAGCTGGATGCGGCGGTTCAGAGAGGCCACCTCTGCCTCGGCCTGCGGGGAGCAGAGGCGGCGGCTCGGCACGGGGGCAGCGCCGGAATCCCGGCACGGGGCCGGTGCCGCTTCCCGGCGCTCCGCACGCGGCACGCGCGACCCCGGCAATCAGCGCCCCGCTTATCGGCCGCCCCAGAGCGGCGCGCGGGCGGCTCCGCCGCACTCTCGGCTGCACAGATTAACGGCGCGGGGCCCGGCGGGCCGGGGCACCACCGGGGCGCCACCGGGGCACCACCGGGGGCGGCCGGCTCCCTCCCTCCCCCGCAGCAATCCCCGGGGAGCGGGAGCCCGGCCCGGCCTGCGGGGGCCGCTCCCCGGCGCCGGGCGCTCGGGGCTCCGCGCAGCCACGGGAACGGCCGAGGCCTCCGCGGCGGCGCTCGGAGCCCCGGGGGGGCGGCGGGCGCGCGGCGGCGGGCGGGCAAGATGGCGGCGGCGCTACCTGCTCGCGGCTGCGGCGCTCGGCCTCCACGTCGCGCTGCAGGCGGTCCGCGCGCTCCTCCGCCTCGTCCGCCTGCTGCTGCAGCACCTGGATCTTGCGCTTCACCGCCTCGATCGTGGTGGCCCCCGCCATGGCGCCCGCTCCGCCGCCGCGCCCGCCGCCCGGCCCCGCCCGCAAATACCGGAACCCGCCGCCGCTGCCGCCGCCCGCCCCGCCGGACGGAGGTGACGTCACTTCCGCCGCACGGCACGCCCCCCCCCTCCTCCGCGCCTCTCTCTCGGCGCGGCCTGCGGAGGCGCCCGGGTGGGCCCCGCCCGCTCTGCGTCGCCATGGCAACGGGGGCGCCGCCCCGCGGGGACCGGCTCTGTGTCCTATGGGGACCGGGGCGGCCCCACCGGGACCCGGCTCTGCCCCACGGGACCGGGGCGGCCCCACCGGGACCCGGCTCTGCCCCATGGGGACCGGGGCGGCCCCACCGGGACCCGGCTCTGCCCCACTGGACCTGGCTCTGCCCTGTGGCACCGGGGTACCCCCATGGAGACCCGGTTCTGCCCCACGGGATCCGGCGCTGCCCCATGGGGGCCTGGACGTGGCACTGTCCCCTTGGAAGGACATAGTCGTGCCCCGTGGAGGTCCCGGCACTGCCCACGGGGCCCAGGATGGCTCCAGTGGGGACACGGCGCCGTCCCCAGGGAAGCGCAACCTGCCCCGCGTGGGAGCAGGGCTGCCCCACGGGCACTGAGACCCGGCGCTGCCCCACGGGGGACAGTACACAGCTCTGCCCCGTGGGACACGTGGCGCTGTCCCACGGGGGACACGGCACTGCCCGGTGAGGGACACGGCACCGCTCTGTGGGGCACGGGGACCCGGCACTGCCCCACGGGGGACACGGCACTGTCCCATGGGGGACCTGGCACCACCCTATGGGGGACATGGTACCTCCCTATAGGGGGCAGGACGCAGCACTGCCCCATGTGGGACAAGGAGGTGGCACTGCCCCACAGGGGTCTGGGCATTGCCCCACGGGGGACGAGAGTGACCCGAGAGGACCCGGGACACAGAGCTGCCCCCTGGGACATGGACCTGCCCCGTGGGGAACGTGGAGCTGCCCCACGAGGGGCACAGAGCTGCCCCACAGAGGACCCACTGCTGGCCCATGGGGACACGGCGCTGCCCCATCGGGGACAAGGATGTGGCACTGCCCCACCAGGGACAGGGCATTGCCCCACGGGGGACAAGAATGCCCCCAGGACCCGGGACACGGAGCTGCCCCACGGGGACACGGCGCTCTCCCACCATGGGGACACAGTGCTGTCCCGTGGGGGACACGGAGCTGCCCCATGGGGACACGGAGCTGCCCCACAGGGAACAGTGTGCTCCCCCACTGGAAGGGCGCCCCACCATGGCGCCATGGGCCACGGAGATCAAGACGGCCCGGCGCAGGAGCTGGACCCGGCCCGGCTCTGCCCCATGTGCCCTCCCGTCCTGTCCCGTCCTATTGCCCCCTGCCCCATCCCGTCCAGCCCCATCCCGTCCTGTCCTGTCCCGTCCTGCCCCATCCTGTCCCATCCTGCCTGTCCTGTTCTATCCTGTCCTGTCCTGTCCTGTCCTGTTCTATCCTGTCCTGTCCTGTCCTGTCCTGTCCTATCAGCCTCGTCTCGTCCTGCCCCATCCCATCCCAACCCGTCCTGTCCTGTTCCATCCCATCCTGCCCCATCCTGTTGCCCCCCGCCCCATCCCATCCTGCCCTGTCCGTCCTATCCTGTCCTGTCCTGTCCTGTCACAGTCCTATCCTGCCCTGTCCGTCCTATCCTGTCCTGTCCTGTCCTGTCCTATCCAGTCCCATCCCGTCCAGTCCCGCCCCGTCCTACTCCATCCCATCCCACCCGTCCCGTCCCACCCCATCCCAGGCCCCGCAGACCCTTATATGGGCAGGCAGGGCAGCGGGGCAGCGTTCCCGGCCACGGCGGCGCGCGGCATTCCCGGCATTCCCGGCGTTCCCGGCCGCCCTGCGCGGAGGCGCGAGGCGGCCGGGCCGGGCGCCACGTGCGCCGCCCCGCTCCCCCTACGTACATCGGCCGCCTTCTTCTCCGCCAGCTCCAGCTTCTCCTGCGCGTCCTTGAGCGCCTCCGAGTACTTGTCCAGCTCGTCCTCCGTCCCCTTGAGCTTCTTCTGCATGGCGGCCAGCTCGTCCTCGAGCTGCGGCCGAGCCGTGAGCGCCGGGGCCGCTGGCGCCCGCCGCGCCGTGCCCGCCGCCCGCCCCGCTCCCACCTGCTTGCTCCGCTCCTCCGCCTGCTTCTGCTCGGCCTCCGCCTGCTCCGCGCGGTCCAGCGCGTTCTCCTTGTCCAGCTTCAGCATCTGCATCTTCTTCTTGATGGCCTCCATGGCGGCGGTGGGCGCGGGGCTGCCGCGGGGCCGCCCGCGGGCGCCCTTATATCCGCGCGGCGCCGGGGGGGCCGCTTGCCTTTCTTGGGCCGAGCCGCGAGCCCAAAATGTCCCGGCTCGGCACCTATTGTCCTGGCGCCTTATTTGGGCCCCGCCGGACAGCTGGGGGGTTATAAAAAGCAGCAGGCGGGCGGCACGCGGGGGGTCCCGCATTGTCCTGGCGCCCCCCGCCCCCCTCTGCTCTTTGCCAGCAGCCGGACGCCTGGGCCCTTCCCCAGCGCCCTGTGGGGCTCGGCTCGGCCCCCGGACCCCCCGCACGGCGCCGCGGGGGCGGCCAGGGGCTATTTTAGGAGCAGGGGCTTTAGCGGCGGCCCCGGCTCCGCGCGCCGAGGCCTCGTCCGCCCTCGCGCCTCGAGCCGCCGCATCCGCCGCTCCCGGAGCCGCGCCGGGCGCTGCGCAGCCCCGGCGCTGTACCAATATGTTTGATATTCAGTTGGGTGCGCAGTAAAACAACCTAATATCAAACATATCAGACAGCGGCGGGCGGAGAAGGAGCCGGGGCCGGCGAGCGGCGCCGGGTCCCGCGCGGCCGCTCTTCCCCGTCCCGGCTCGGGAGGCTCCGCGGCGGCTCTGCCGCGGCGCCGCGGGAGATGCCCCTTATAACGGCGCATGGCCGGGGGGGGCTGCGGCCGGGGGCCCCCCACACGTGGCCCCGTTCCCATTAATTAGCCCCAACGAGCGGTGCCCGCGCCCTTGGCGCCGCGCGCGGCCGCTCG